ATTTTTTTTTTGTTTTGTTTTGTTTTGTTTTTTGGTTTTTCTCCGGTACCAGGAACCGAACTCACGACCTTGCGCTTGCCAGGCAGGCGCTTTTGCCGCTGAGCTAAATCCCCAGCCCCTCTACCATGATTTTAATGAGTAACAGATTAATAACCCAGGAGTTTGTAAGCCCTCTATCTCTACAGCAGTCTCTAATTAGGTCAATAATAAATACATACAATGTACATATGTGTAAGACACACACACACACAGGCATCATTTAGGTAAACATCATCATCACACAAAAAAGTTAACATTGAAGCACTATAATTCAAAAAAAAAAAAATTCCGTGGCTTCATTAACTAATCACTGGCTACATTAACTGCCTGGCTCACCAGCCCACATGTGTACGTGCAAGAGAGACACAAGAGATAACCCACCAGCTAGCGCTCTCTCTCTCTCTGCCTCTTGTCTCTCTCTGTCTCTCTGTCTGTCTCTCTGATTCCTGGCCTGTCTCAGAAATCCCTGGAGAACATGAATAAATCACATATTGCAATTAAGTCACAAAACAAAGATACAGGATAGGTGCTAAAGTATAACACTCAGTGCAGTTACTAAACAATCCTGAATCACTGAGGGTTTTCTTACTCCAGCCTACCAAGATATCTGACCAAAGAATTATCTCACACTGCAGGAAAAGGACTGAGGAAAATGCAGTACAGAGGAAAATTTCTACCTCTTAGTCACTCAACAAAGCGCAGAGGAGAAATGTTAGCAAAGGCTTCCAAAGCCAGAAATAAAATGTAGCTTTAATTAGGTGGCTAGTTCACTGCAGTTTTTCATATTCCAGTAGAACCAATCTGTAACAGTATCCTATTTATCTATTATCATCACATCTACTTCTAAATCTCCATTCACTGTCTTTGAATTAGTAAAAATAACCTACCCATAGCTGTGATTTGTGGGACTGGCTTATTCTAGAAAAATGGTTTTTTAGAACAAAATAATCTTAAATTCTATTCCTTACCCTTAGTGAATCACTGGCATATAGCTGAGGCAACAACATCGATCCTCCCTGCATGCATTTCCTCACTAAAGGTACACTTGCACCTACTTTATCCTCAAGAGTTCTCTTTAAAACTTCAGTTAAAGAGAGAGGGATGAAGAACAAAGAAAAAACAAGCTCACTTCTCAAAATACAAACACACTTGTAAAATTTTATAACACATCCTTAGAACCAGAGTGTCTAAATACATACTTTTGAAGGATACTACAAGAAGTGTGTATGTGTAAAATTTACAAAGAAAGAACTGCAGATAATTTTTTTAATCTAATTCACTCATTAAAAATGAGGGCTGGGTATGGTGGCACACCCCTGTCATCCCAGCTCTCATGAGGACAAGGCAGGAGACCAGCCTGGGCTAAGCAGTGAGTTCAAAGCCAGTCTGGAATACATAGCAAGACCCTGTCTCAGAAAAAAAAGAAAAAGAAAAAAAAAAAAAACTAAGGAAAGCAACTGAGCTACTGAGCATGTAAGTAAAAAACAGATACTTCAGTATCATTCTTACTTTTCACTCACTCTGTCCATCCTTTTCCCAAAGCATCCAAACCTAACCACTGCTGCAAAGTGTTGAGACACTCTTTGCACAGCCTCGATACAATAATGCCACCATAGCACACCCAGGGGATGGTGCAGCGATCAACATGTTAAGAGTCTGTTTCTAACAAATGTCAACAAAAAGGGGAGGAGAAGCAGAATTCAACTGCGTTACTACTTTCATTTGGAAAAATCAGTGAAAATGGCACTAATATTAATTAGCTATTCTTTGTGCCATGAACGGTGTATCCATTGCAGTAGTGTCGTGTTGCTTTTGGATCTTTCTGATCCATCTCATAGATAGTTCTGTGCCTCTGAATAAAAATGAGTCTGGGATGTTTGCCTGTAAAGGCCTCAGGGCCCCGCAAGGACCCACAGATCGGAGTGGTGTGGATACTGCGTCTGCATCTTCACTAAGTAGGAAGAACCAACGTAAATAGAGCTTCATGCCAGGAAAACTGAAGTTCATGCCTAAACAAATCGATTTCCCTGTTGTCTATACATAAAATGCCTAAAAGAATGTGGAAGAAGAAAGGTGGGAGCAAATATTAATTAAGCAATCCAGTGCTACAACAGGGGAAAGATGTAAGAAACCTAAAATATAAAATCTTTGTGAATCTCATCGAGGCCAAATGGCCCAGAAGACACTTGCACAGAAGACAGTCTAACATAGGTCTGAGGAAACTATTATAAAATGCAGGCCCGTAAAGCCCAAGCTCCATTTCATAACCATGTTTTCTCTAATTATTCACTACCTTCTAGAAATGGCAAGAAAACCTAGACAATGTAAGTCTTCAAGTCTGTTGGGGCTTTTTTCCCCAATTCTCCATATGAGAAATAATACCCATGACAGGCAATATTTACTTTGCTCTTCTATGTGCCGGGCCCTTACCATACTCCTCACCCTCACAACAAGCTATTATCCTCATTCTTGCATGGACTGTCCCAGAGGTAAGACTCCTGAGGCACAGAAAGGTTAAGTAATATGCCAAAAACACACAGCCAGTATATGACTGAGCCAGATTTCTAACTAATGCAGTCTATTCTGGAGATCATGCTCTTGTCTAAGCGAACATAAACCCTCTTAGGTCTCCAGAACAGCAGGCCAACAAATGTTTCAACTGTCTCAAAGATTAATACGCACTGGCAAGAACCTGTAAATATTTAAGTTAATTCCAACAGGCCAACTGTCACAAAGTGTGCGTTTATGTGAAGTTGAAGCAGAAGTGCTACACAATAAGAAGCTACACACAGATACCTTCCAAGCAAGGTGTCTTAGAAACTGTTCCAAATGCTTCTGAGAAAACAGACGGAAAACGTCTACCATCTTTTCCTGTTAAAAGGTATTATTTTGTTTGAGAAGCAGTTTTTTGTTTCTTTATTTTTCCATCTATGTGTCTCCAATACATTCTAACTCCTGAAAAACTACACATATTTCATACGTCCATTCAATGGCTGATGTCTGATTTGGCAAATGGCAAGAGACTATTTAGCAAATTCAAACATTATTTTCACTTATGGCCAATTTAAAAAAAAAAAAAAAAAAAAAACCTGTGTAATTCCCCACTGACGGGGAGGGGGAATTAGAATAGATCAGAAAACATCAGCTGAACCAACAAATCACTAAAAAGTGCTCTGCTCGTGCAGCTTTTGTCTTCCTCATTCTGATGTTTGTTATCTTCACTACTAAGCATCCCCCAGACCCTAGGAAAAGATTCTTTGAGTCACTGTAAATAATGCCACTAGCATAAAAACTTCTGATTTTCCTGGAGGGCAACAGACTGGTGTGCTTTCTGGTAATGAGAGGTGCTTCAGGATCACGTGTATTGCCTACTAACAATAACGGACCTTCAAGAAAACTGTCCCAGTAATCATATTGTTGAGAGCCTCTACCATTACAGGAGCACCTACTTCAGCTGGGCACCACAGTAAAAAATGCACACTACTTCTTGGAAGTTTTCCAACAACTTAAAGAGCTAGGCAGGGCTACGAAAGAGGAGAAGTAGATTATGTAACTAGCCCCAAGTCCTCCAACTCTAACGAGGCAGAACTGTGTCTTATATCCAATTTAACCCGATGGAGCAGACTATCGCACTGATCTAACCTGAATTTGCCTCTCCATGGAAGGAGACAAGTTTGTTGTCATTGTTTTGCTTCATATGTCCTGGACAAAACCCTAGTCAAAGATGGGCAAAGGTGTCACACCAGGGCCTGCTCCAGCCGACAGCCTGAGGGTCATGAGGAAAGACTGACGGGACACAGAAAAGGACCTCACTCACACTCAAGTGGCTGCAGTGGGCAACATAAATGCCTCCACCAAGCAACGGAGAGCCATTATTGGTGGCTGAGTGATATTTTAATTCTGTGGGCTCATTCTACATTTCACCAGACACTCATTATCTAAAATCTTTCCTTTGAACTACAGTCATATCTTGGTACTTGACTGCTTTGAAACTTACCAAATTTGGTACTCGATGCATTGTTACACAAAAACTGTGTCCCCGGGCTTGGCATGCAAGCTGAGTGCTGATTTGGTGGCAATCACCAGTGTTGACTGCCATCAAACCTGCTACCCTTCCAAAGCCAAATCAATCTGTTTGGCACTAGTCATTTTTCAGAGTTTGTCTCACCTCCCCGAACCAGTTAACGACGAGCACCTAGATACCGCTGTCACCAGAAGTTACAATCAACACTGAAGTCTCAGTATGTCTCGTACATCAGCAGGAATATCTAAAGAGCAATTTACAGAAAAAGTGGAAGTCACTGTCCTCCTCCTGCATCACTTCAGTCATTTGGCTGCAAGCTGTCAAATTCATTAAACAGTGATGCGATTATACATTTTAAAAGATTAAGTCTGTGACAAAAAGCCTTTTTTAAATTTTTCAGGTAACTCCCCATGCCACTCTGAATGGCGAGTGGTTTAAAAACTTATGAATGGCTTATTTCTGGAATTTTCCATATAATATTTTCAAACTATGACTGGCCCTGGGTAACTGAAACCACAGAGAAGAAAACCACCGAAAAGGGGGGACTACTCTGACGAAAAGACTTGAGAGCAGAATCTTGAACAGGTACTTTTATACCCACATCCCAGCAGCATTACTCACAACAGCTTAGGCTGCTACCGGACAGTCTAACTATCCAGCTAGACAAAGTCTAGCAAACTCTCTCTCCTCCCCGACAAACGAGATGTATTATCACTGTCACTCCAGAGTGCAATTTAGGAGTAATGAACTCCCGGAACAACTTGTTAAAATAATTAATATTCAGATTAAGGAAAAGCAGTAACTCAGGACAGAAACAAGGTTTTCTAAAACTAGATTTCAACTGAAATGATAACCTGAAGAAAAGTGAGAGGCCCCAATACAGCAATTCAAAGTTGGGAAGAGGCCAAGCATCAAATGCACCCAAGGACAGAAAGGGCTACAGAAAGAAGTACCCTGCCGTATCTCAAAAGAGAAAGTCTTGGGGTCCTACGACAATCTCTCCTCATTTGAGTTTTCTTGCTTTGTACTGATCAAGACTCAGGTGAGCACTCACAGGTACAGCCCTCCTGCTTTCTCCCCTGGTTATCAAAGTGAGAAATTTGCAGTTATGTTTTACAATCAAGTATTTGCAGTTTTCCAACAAGTTTGAAGGAGTTGAAGCCATGTGAATTACAACTTGCAAATACTTCCCAAAAGAACACAGAAGTTATTATTATAACAGCTTCACAGGAAAAGGTCAGAACTAGGCATGGGAAAGATCTATCCTCCCGCTGGCTAGAGCTGCACTTGCTTAATCTCTCTTGCTTGCTCTCCATACCTGTTTTCATACTGCTTACCGCTGGGCAAGCCTTGATAATCTGTAACCCTAAGCAAATCCAAATCAGATTCAAATGATACAAACACATATTAGAGGTAGGCTTGAAGGAGTACTGGACGTCTGTACTACTTGATGTTGAAACCTTTGGCAAGTCGTCAGCATTTCAGAGAGCACTTTAAATGTTTTGGTTTGAGAGCTAATGCAGCATTTCCCATTGCTCAACAAGAGCAGTTCAGGCAGAAAGCAAAGTACATTTCCCTCAACATCAGTCAGATGTTACACTCACTTGCTGATCCAATCTTGCCTACAGAGACCATAGGAGACTGGAAAAATCGGTAAGTAGGAAAATTCCATCCAATACAGAATATCTTAAAAGAATATTTGTAATTTCAATGTAAAATGGCTTTTTATGCTCTTAACCTCCTAATTCTTTTCATTTAATGGATGGAATGACAGATTTATATGTGAGGCTGGATTTTTCCAAGTTCAAACAATAAACTAAATCTAGTTACATTTTCTCTGCAAATATTCTATAACTTAATGAAGCATGACTAGCTTACATGGGACTCATACCTTGAGCATTATGAAATTCTTATTTTTAAAAAAGTTATGTCTACTACAGGACAGTGTTCTGTATCTGTGGATAAGGAATTAAAAATAAGTTATCTGATACAGTAAAGCAGACCGACATAGCTGGTTATGATGTAATCCTCAGGGCAACGGCAGTTCAATAAAGAACTAAAATGCTCAAGAAAGAAAACAAAAAGCATAACATTTGGTTTAAGAGCATGAACGGCCACATCCCACAAAAACTGAAACCAATTAAATGCTTCATGCAAGAAACTTTTTTTTTATACTGGGAATTGAACTCACAACCTCGCGTTTGCCAGGCAGGCACTACGCCACTGAGCTAAACCCCCAGCAAGAAACTTGGGAACATTTTCTCTACATCACTAAAAGCCTGGCCTACTTGGTGTGAACTAAAATGGTGAGTCACAATTTATTTTCAAAGAAAAGAAACAGGAATTAAGTAGGTATCATGGTTGTTGTTTATTTTTTAATAATGTCATGTTTCAATTTTCATTTCCTTGATTAACTTTTGATTTCTTCCTCTGAAATTTAACAAACCTGTAAATATCAAGCATCCATAGTGATTTCAGTTTTATTTTGTGGGTGGCAAGGACAAATAGTATATGTAATTTGTAAATCTTATTCTGCTGTTTTTATAGAAATTGCACAGTAAATTCCATAAAAATGAGACTGCGAATTTTTAAAATGTAAATCATGCTTAGCATCCACACTTTCATTTTATAGCACCCCAAAAATACACTTTTTAAAAAGCCCTATTTTCTGAAGAAACTAGGTAGTGATTTAGAGAATAACATATTAACCACAGCACGCCTACACCCTAAAAAAATATTACCACCACTAAACTCAGTATTTTTAATTTTGATTCTCAATATTTACCCTCAAAATGCACCCTGTTAAGTCATCTAGTGATATAAAAAATATTATGTGTGTGTGTGTGTGTGTGTGTGTATATTATATCACATATAATGAAAACACTAGACTGGCAGGCACAGCCCGTCTTTGCACTTTAGTCAACTCTCCTCATCCGCCCTGTCCATTATAGGGAAGGGGCTCCAAAGCCCTTCGTGCTTCAACACAAAACTCTTACAAGCTGCTAGAAATCAATGCATGCAATCAAGAAAACTTAGAGTAAAATTATGTTTGAAAACAAAACAAGATCTAAATTCACTGGCTTTCTGGTATTTTCCACATTCCTGTCCATATTGGTACAATATTTATTCTTCTTTTCATTCATCTCTAATTTTACTAGTAAGTTTTAAATGTGTTAACATTAACCACATGAAAGTGCCATTTGGGAAAGTGAAAAAATAGCCAAATATCAGCAATTTGATGACTCAGCTTGGCAAAAAAGAAAGGCAGGATGCCATCCCTGCCCTTAAGTTAAAATCACGTGTAAAAAGCAGAGACACAGTCTCAGAGGCAAACCCGGAAGTCAAGGGGAAGGGGTAAAAAATTTATGATATCTGACAATAACCTTCCTGTGATAAAGACAGCCAATACTTCTAATCTAAAATGCCAAGTGCTGAACTCCCATGGTATAATCCTCTGTCATCTCACTTGATGTTTTTGGCAGCCAGGCGAACAATGGGGAAGGCTTTCTCTTACTGCTTCTCTGCTTCACAATGAGGAAAACAGGGTCCAGAGGTTTAGTAACTCAAACAAGATGACGTACACAATAAAGCTCAAAGATGGGACTTGAAGACAAAAGCGGTTGGACTTCAAACCCACTATCATTTCACTTTCCCCTCCTAGATAGTGAAGTAAGGTAACTGCGTCCAACAAAAGTTGTGCTTTATGCATATATATACAAGTTAGAGATGCAAGAGAGCACCAGGGCCTGGTCTTTGGACTAGCTGTTTACATAACAAAGGTAATAACTGCACTGTATAAAATAGTAAATATTATTGGGACTCGGATTTTTACTAAGCCAATATAGCATAGTGGAAAGATGTGATTGGGAGAAAAACAACTAAATCTGAAGTGGCAGTAACCTTGAGTTACATCTTTTCATTCTGCTTTTTTGTTGCTGTTACTGTTGTAAACCTCTTTTCTTTTCCCTTCTATCCCATCACCTATTAAAGGGAGGCAAATGCCTGGCACATAACAGCCATTCAATGAAAATGGAATCCCCTCCTCATTTTTCATCCCTGCTAATAACTAAGTTAGAAGTAGTACTGCAGAGAGCCAAACACACAGGAAATTGCTCGGGTTGCAATATGTGACTGAAGCCCAAAAAGAAATCATAAAGATAAGGGAGATAATACTTCTATTTTACTAGCTGTCTCTTCCACAGTAAACTGTAATGCAAGTACATGTCATGCAAGTACATGGGTAGTGAGCATCTATCACCACATGCCTACTAAGTGCTTATTACCTTACATGACCTACACTCTTAAATAATTATGCCACTTCTTCCTGGCCAGTTCAGAAAACCCGATAGGTAGGGAGTCTGGAGTTCAGGGTCAGGCCTGTAAGTCCCACAGGTGGCTTTTACACACACACAAACACACACACGCTTGGTGCACGTTTGGTGGGTCAGTGTATTACTAAACAACCAACTTTACAAAAAGACAAGAGGGAAACTAAAGTGAAAGCAGATCCATAGAAGTTAAAATGCTGGACTAAATCTTTTATTAGAAAAATGGTTAGATACATCTTAGTCAAGAATTTTTTTACTTCAAGATCCCTTTCACTCTGAGCTTTTGTTTGTGTATATCTATCCATATTTATTATAAGTTAAAATCATGAAAGTTATAAAATATTTAGTACATTTTAAAAGGGCACCATACATTAACAAATAACATTTTATAAAAACAATTAAAAAAAAAATACAGTAAGGTGTCTTTAGTGTACATGTTCTGCAAGTGACCTAGGAAAGAGAGCTAGCGTCTACTACCAGGAACTGTTCACAATTTATTGAGAAAGAGGAAAAACATTCATCTGGTCAGAGTTCTGCCAAGCACTGGATGACAGAAAGGATCAAGCAAAGCAGAGAGCCAGGATGTTAGGCCTTTATTTTTAACTTCTGTTCACTAGACCAAAAATATGTAAGTAGCTCAATAGTCTATATCTACAACAAAGATTTGTTTGCCTAAAACACCAAGTGTCTACTGCTGCCCTTTTACACACCCTCCATCCCATATACACAAACACACCTGCACTTCTTCCACAAGCTGCCATGCCAGTAACATTCAAGAGATAGAAGAACCTGCTGGCAGTTCTACTGCGACAGCTTAGACAAACTCATAAGTAGCGGGCAGAGGCTTATCTTGTCCACCAGAAGAGCTGCTATGGCTGAGGACTCAGGAAGTCAGTGATAGTTACACCAACATTACCTCCGCTGAGCTTATGCCAGTCACCTACTGGAGGGTAAGAACACACACGCTAGATGACACGGAGACCAAGGGCTTGGAAGGTCTGAGAACCACAGCTACCCTAGTTACCTGCTTGGGGAACTTGTTCAACCGTATGTCCTCCTCCTCTGCTTCGTGTAAAGTGATTTAGGTCATTCACCAAAAGTTTATACAACACCTACTATGAGTCACTTGCTAGGTCAGGTGAGAATATGAAGCTCTCCACCATGTAGTACAATAGACAAGGCAGGAGAGACAAGTATTTTTTAAAAGAACACAATATTTAAGGCTTTAAAATAGAAAGGACCTGAGCTCAACTCTGGGTTCTACCACACAGGAGGTTTGATGCCTTGGACAATTTACTGAAATGCTCTAATTGGTTTCTTCAACTATAAAATGGGTTACTTCTATCTTGTCAGCACTGCTTAAGGATTAAAAGCTTACAGCTGTAATTCATTCATTTTCATTGCTGCAAAACAATTTCACTGGAGAAGTACTGATTTTTTCATTCATCCTACTAATAATCATTTCTGGTATTACAAAGAGCACTTCAGCGACCATTCTTGTACATACTCCCCGATGTGCGTCAGCCAGTTTGCTAGGACATGCATCTAAACGTTACAGGGCTTGCTACCGTGCATCCACATCAAGCATCTCCAAGTCATTTTCCACAGTGATCAACTTTATAAGCTGTGTGGCAAATTTTTTTAAAGGTCTAGAAGATGACACATACCAGGGACCCTTTTTAGAAAGGAATGAACAGGGGCTGGGGGTTTAGCTCAGCGGCAAAAGCGCCTGCCTGGCAAGCGCAAGGTCGTGAGTTCGGTTCCCGGTACCGGA